AACTAGTCAGTTTTTAGCTGTTTTTTATTTCTAGAAATCTAATTTTGATGTAAAATACGGCAAATGAAATGGTAAAATACGAGTGAATTGTCTTGTTTTTCTGACATTAATGTAGAAAAAATTGTTTTTCGCAGCAGTAAAGCAATATATAGATATTGCTACGTACGCAACGTACTTCTTCTTTCCATAGTATGATGATTAGAGTCACATGAAAACAAATGTTATCTCATAATCCCTAGAACGAGATAGATTTAGAAGACTAAATCAATTTTCACTAAATCAAAAATTAATCTCAAAAACTCCATGTACAAATTAATCATTAAAGATAGAAGTACATATCATTGTTTCAATTTGAGCGAAATTATTTTCGTTTTTTTGTATGGTCGGCTAGAGCTCGTCGAGTTTCATAGGAAAACATCAATTTTAGTCTTTACAGCATGATTTTTCTGTGAAAAAAAACTAAAAGGATTGAGTAAGGATACACTTTGTAAAATTGGTTGTACACTTGCAGAATGGTGGCACATTTCGATATCCGTCTTCTAAATCTATCTCGTTCTAGGGATTATGAGATAACATTTGTTTTCATTTGACTCTAATCATCATACTATGGAAAGAAGAAGTACGTTGCGTACGTAGCAATATCTATATATTGCTTTACTGCTGCGAAAAACAATTTTTTCTAAATTAATGTCAGAAAAACAAGACAATTCACTCGTATTTTACCATTTCATTTGCCGTATTTTACATCAAAATTAGATTTCTAGAAATAAAAACAGCTAAAAACTGACTAGTTTTTGAGAATTTCCCTAAATTAGACGTAGCTGGGGGAAATTCAAAATTCAACCGCTTTGTATTTTTTCGATTTATATACATGACTCAGAATTATGATTCGGCGTTATGAGAACTATTCAGAACTATTGATAGTATGTATTGAGAACTATGGAGAACTGTCCGTAGTGTACATTGAGAACTACTCAAAACTATGCATAATATGCGTTTAGGACTATGAGTTCTATTCATTAGTGTTGATGGAGGAATGTTAGAACTAATGAGAAGAAGGGTTTGATAGCTATTAGGAACTGTTGATCGATAGCTAGAAGGACTGTTTAGAGGTGTTCATCGCGCAGTGAAGTTTGATTTTCTCAAGAAAAACGTTGTAGACTTACGTTGCGTGGAGTGTTTTGAGGACTGATAAGACTGGAGAATATCGGTTTTCGAACGGTGTGGCTGCTAAACGCGTCGTACATTTTGTGTGGTTTCATTTCAGTTTCTGCCGATTTATTCTTCTTGTTTTTATCAATTTCGCTTTATAGTGAAAAAGAGTTTGTGGTTCTTGATGTCTTTCTTGTTGAAGAAATAGTTTTATCGTGTGTATATGCGTAGAATGGATATAGAGAAGATAAATTGTTTCATGTGAATATGTAAAAAAGGGAAAAATGTATGTATATTGGAAGAATGACTATGCAGGTAGTTGTTTGCACATGTCAGTCAGTTAGAAGAAGGAGAAAAAACATATTTTTCTATTTCGTGTTTAAGGAAAAGGAATTTTCGTCATGTGAATGTGCACATATAGTAAGTGAAGTAGATCAGTTTAATTTAGTTTGGTTAAAGATACAAGTATGTACAGTTATACATTTTTAGCTTCTCTTATTTACAAAGAAAGGATAATTGTTTGTGCAGTCTTCGGCTTAGGTGTTTAATACTGCGCTCTGAAATATTACGATTCTAAGTCTGAAGTAGAAAAGCAGTAGCGTGAACTCTTCATACATTGTTCAAAGTTATGCGATGTTTGTTGCTTTTAGCAGTTCATAACGGCACAGCTTTTCTTTGATTCAACAGACTGCTTTTTGAGGCGTAATTCTAGTGTGTTACTTATCATTCATTTAGACCTATGCCATTGGGGTTCATTGTGAAAGAACCTTACAAGAAGAAAAGTGTACTAAATAATATAAACTGCATTTACATTGACAGAGAAATGGATACGTGCATAGCACAAATAAAAATAGCTGAATTATACTTGGATACACATTGACAAATACTTCTATTACATAAGAAAAAAAATTCATACAATGACTCAGGATTAATTTAAATTAAATTATTTCGTTGTCGTTCTTGTTTTTTTTGCCACAATTTTCTAAATATAAAATAGACTACATTAGTCGAAAGGAACGATTATTAGAATCTTTAGCTTGCTTGTCCGCTAGCAGTCACTATTCGTTCGTGTTCATCCTCTTCTTCTGCTTCTTCGTCTGGAATGACCAGAGTTGGTGATTTAGACCCTTTCTCCATTGTTGTTTGTGATGTACGCTTTCTCCACAGCAAAGAAACGAACATCACTAGATCAGTTGTTTACCGTCATATATTCGAAGCATATCGACGCTTCAAAAACGATATTCTGCATTTTTCTCATAGTTCTCAGTACTTACTATGAATACTTCTGAATAGTTCTTATAGTTCTCATAGTTCTCAACACATGCTATGAATAGTTCTGAATAGTTCTCATAGTTCTCAGTACATATTATCAATAGTTCTGATAGTTCTCAACACATAATTTTAGTAGTTCTGAATAGTTTTCTTGATTTTGGTTTGTGCTGAAAAGTTCTGATAGTTTGCATAGTTGTGTATTGCGGAGTTTGGATTGTCATCACTCGTTCGATGTGAAACGAAAATTGTAACCGGCTTTTTTGTATGTAGGTAATGCAACGCACTGTGACTGTCTGATCATAAATATCGTTCACAGTTGGATAATTGAAGTGAATTGGAAATGAATTGTAAATTGCGAACACCGAATGAAATTGCCAACAGTTTCAAGCGTGGAATTGTTAATACGTTCTTTGGAGGTAGACGGCTTTGTCAAAAAGTTAAATTGCTTACCAGCTTGGTTTGGGTTTAGCTCACCAAATAAATTGCGCTGCCATAAGCTTGGCTTGATGCATCACAAAAGGAATGCAAAGCGTAATAGATGATTGTCTGACGCAACGTTGATAAAACGAGGAAAATTGAATTTGGAAATAAATTGTATACTTGAAGCAATTTGATTCCATTCGTTTTGTTGGTCAAAATTCAAGAAATCATTCCAATCTAATTTTGCGATCCAAAGTGTTTGCATAAACAATTTTGCGTTTAAATTTGCTGGACTGAACAAATCCAACGGATCAAAAATAGAGACAATAATTTGTAATACCTCGCGTTTTTTTGAAGGATCAGAAATAGAGAAATTTGATTCATTTATTGATAACGTGTGTGCTTGAGTGTTCCAGGACAGACCTAAAACTTTGACGTCCTTCGATTGGACTTGATCCTCGATTTGAAATTGATTAAACAATTCGTTTTAATTGGATGCCCATTCTCGAACGTTCATCGACGCAGCAGCAAAATTTTTTTTAGTTTCTTGGTTTAACAGCAGCTTTAGCGTTGTCCGCACCCGAAACAATATTATCAATGTAAAGATTTTCGAAAATGCTACCTACTGCCTCTGATCCGTTTTGAAGCAAATGATAAGCCAGGGTTGCCGCCAAAAAAAATGGACTCGAAATTAACCCAAAAGGAACCCGCGTAAACAGAAAAATTGCTAAATTGTTTATTGTTGTTAGTTTATCAGGACTTTTCAGCCAAAGAAATCTTGTTGCATCGCGTGATTGTTTTTTGTACGCCTATATGAAGAAAGGCTTTCTCGATATCTGCTACAATAGCGACCTTGTTCAATCGAAATCGTAATAACAACGAACACAGATCGGCTAATATGACTGGTCTTCGATACAAACAATCATTAATATTTAAATTGTTTTTATTTGTTTTCGCCGATCTATCGTAAACAATGCGAACTTTGGTTGTGGTTTTGGTTAGCGTGATAACGGCTTGATGCGGTATATAGTGGACGATCGGACCATCTACATACGAATTGACCTTGTCAATTTGATGTTGGACAATCAAATCATATTGTTTGAGTAGCTCAGGTTTGTCATGAAATCTTCGAACCAGAGAATTGAGGCGACCAATAGCTAATTATTTCTTGTTAGGTAAATCAATTTTCTCGTTACGCCATGGTAATTGACCAAAATAACGTTGATCTTGAAATTGTATAGTTTCATTGAATTGTTTCAAAGCAACTTCTTCATCCGGACAATCGATTTTGTCCTTGATACAAATCGTGTCAAGCGACCACCATTCCTTGAGGTCGACTTGTGAACTTAGATTGTCATCTTGTTTGAGAAATCCACTGGATAATTGACCCAAATCCGTTGTCAAAGACGAAATAAATAAGGAAGCTGGTCGATTATTGAACTTGTTGATTGTGGAAACGCAACGTGAGAGTATCCATCCGAATTTCGTCTGAGCAAATACAATTGCTTATCGGTTTTGATACGTTCGGGTATCGTAAATTGACCATAATATTCATTGCCCAATAGAATATCGGCATTGGAATTTTCGACTTTTGTTGGAAGTGGATCCGCCAAGGATATACTTTGCATTAAATATTAAAATTCTTGCGTATTAATAGGAGGAACTCGTTGAATTGCATTGACAATTTTTGGGACAACGTGGACCGTTATCCTTTGAAATTGACCATCGATTAATTTTAAATCAAAGTTGAATATTGGCATTTCAATACTTTGCGCTTGAGCAGCATTTCAATTGTACTTGGTTGATTTTTCGTTGATAAGTATTAACGGATTTGTGATTTGAGAATGAGATTTGTGTTTCATCGTACATAAACTACTGTGATGCTTACCCACTTGTTTGCAATGTCATGGAAATGTGGTGCAATGAAAAGCCGAGTTTTCTGGAAAACTGGTGGACGGCAATAGTCAGAAAGTTCAAACAAAAACGAAAAAGTGTTGCAAGGAGTTAACGCAAAGCTCAAAATGAGGTGAGGGGTACCGTTAATCAAAATACAATT